TTGCAAATTAAGCATAAAATTATAATTTAATCATTATATTGTAAAATTTAAATGTAGTTAATCAATTTTTGTGTAAATTATAATAATATTTCTACATAATTAATAAAATGTTTTAATTTGAGTTTAAAATATACTCACAAATTACCCATTTTGTCTCTACAATTAAGATTTAATGTAATCTCCTTGCTCATGAGAGGTAGAAACAGAACCAATTTCAGTAAATAAAGACAGGAAAAAGATTTACTAATATATTAAGTGGATTCATAAACTTTTCAAAAATGTAATTAATGATGAAGCTAAAAATTTACCTACTTCTCATACATGTAAATCTAAACCTTTTTCATACTCATTATTTAACTCGATACTCACATGAAGGTAAAATACCTATCTAAATAGGTCAGGTACGCACACATATAACACACACACACATATATATATATATATATATATATATATCCATGCCCGATACTGGGCCCTGATTACCTTTTCATCTCAGGGGAGGACTTACATAGCTGGAGCCTGGAGTACTAGAACAACCAATTCTGGCCATCCATCAGCGCTGCCTGGTTTTCTCAAGCTTCTATAATCAACTTCAATTCTTCATATATTGAAATATTTGAAAAAAGTGTTCATTTAAAGCATATAAATGTTAGGGAAAAAAGAATAAAAACATGTAACATAATTTGCTGTAAAATAGTTTCTCAGCTTCTTTTTTCCCTGCCATATGGCAACCAGGTTGAAGAACTAGATACAGTGATGTTTGAGTAAAGTGCATATATATGCATTTGACTGAATAAGTTTCTACTTTCGGCTAGCTTCCTCAAGTTCTCGGAGCCCTCCTACCTTCTGTTCAATCTCCTCAATCAGCTCCTCACGCCACAGTTCTGCCCTTGCATTCTCCTCAATGTCTTCTTGCTGCATTGTCATGGTTCTTAGTTAAACTTACATTGACCATACCATTATGTCCAACTATCAATTTTCTGTTTTGACCAATACAACTATCAATTTGTTATAGTTGAATAAAACAGTGACTGGCATAAGACCATTGCTGCAAACGATACAAGGTTTTATCTCTGGTTAGAGCATTTCAGACATTTTATTTTACCCTAACAAAATCAATTTTCAAAACCTGTCAAACACTTTCAAATCTCTATTGTCATCCGTCTTCATACTAATAAGATTATATGGTTAAGATCATGAACTTTATCAATCCCATTGATCAAATGGATGCCTAAAAAGGGTTCAAGAAATATGGATAATTGTCATTTTTGTTAACTTAAGCTACTCTAGATCTGTTAAAATAAATACACTTGATAAAGCTATTTAGAGTTCAAATTCTAATTTTTTTCATTCTTTTAATAAAAAATATGATGTGTTTAGGCTTTTAGATTAAGTGTTGAACATCTTGAAGCACTACACTATTGCTCATTATTGTCAATTTTTATGTTCTTCTCTCTTTTGTTATGAATGACAACTCTTCTAGAAATGAAGCAATTAAATAGAAATATTACCTTCTCATAAACCCAATGCCCAGTGCCATCTCCTCCATCTTTCCTGTATGCTTCAGAATCATAGTA